CTATCACTGTATCTCCCTGCCCATTTATGCTGTTCCAAATGGTGCTGAATCTCACGTGTAGTCACCACATCAGTCCTTGGATGCAATGTGTTTAGTTTCTTATTTTGCTCTTCTTTCATGTCCTTTTCCCCTGTCAAAATACACTTTAAAATTTAAGCTGTATTTTTTTAATTCTTTTAGACTCCTACAATCTTCTAAATAATTTTTTCCTCACCAGGGAAACACTTTTCCTGCAGGTGAAACCCTTCTTTCATGCAACACTCCACAAAGTACTGTGATACCTTCATGTAGCTCTGCTTTCTCATGTGGCATTGATTCTCTGCAATGCCCTTGACCCAGACTGCTATTGATGTAACCTGCCAGAATTCCCTTTATCAGGCAGGTGTGTCTCTCTGGAATTACTGCTGGGCACGAACAGGTCATTTGGCAGTACAAATTTGATCCAGTCGGGCATCAACACAGGACAACTTTTCTGTTGGATTAGCCAGAACACGAGAGACAGAACACATACCTGGCTTTCATGGTGTCCTGCCTCTGCTCGCCTGCCTAGTGCACCTGTGGGATGTTGACCTTGCTGCATTGTGGGGACCTGTGTGGTAGATTGCTTGGAAGAACAACCTGTTACCAGCCTTAGCCAACACCTGGGAAAAAGTCTTGGGAGATGCACCAAGCCCATGTCAGGATGTCATCTGCAGCCTATCAGGATGTCATGAAAAGCCATTTTCATCAATTTGTTTTCTTTCAATATTCAGCACTGAGGAAGAGGCAGCAACCTTGTGGCAAACGGGCCTCACTTTATTATATGAAATTTTGTGCACACTGTAGAAATTTGTCTTCATTGTCTTTTCTGTGCATGTGTCTGTTCATTTGCTTCAAAGTTGTTGCCAGCTGCATCAGACACAGAGAGTTCAGGAGAAGGTGTAGGAAGGGACAAAATACCTGGAGTAGGGTAGTGCTGTGCCTCCCCAGACCAAGGGTGGGGAGACAGCGTGGTGGGTATACCCTGCCGAGATGGACAGATTGGGGAGTTGTGGCTGTGATACCAGTCTGGGAGCATGGCGTGCAGTAGAAGTATGCACTCGGACAGAAATGGTGGGAGCAGAGAGCCTGAGAGCTGCTTCTTGGCAAAGAGCCCAGCACTTGGCAGAGCACCCAGAAACAAATCAAGACAAACCAGAACCATCCCAAATTAATGAAGGGATGCACTAATCAAGGCTTTCTTACCTCGAGTAGTGTCCCCTCATCCCACCCTCCCTAGCTTCTAAAGACTGGGCATCTTCTTGGAGAATTTGATTCAGATGCTTGACATTGGGAGCATCATCCCGCCCTCCCATAGTCTCTTCTCTCATGGTGTTCTTCTTCTTATCTTCTTTCTTGCCACTGGAGGATGCAAACTGTCTTTGAACTTGGGGAGTCCCAAACGCTGCCCTGGAGGATCCCAACTGAATTTGGGAATTATTTCTGCATCTTAGTTTAAGAGGTGATAATCCTCCTCAAACCACGGAACAGAAGCCGTGCTGACAAGGAGCATTCATTACTGACAGTTGTCTTGTGAGGCTAGGAGAGAACCTGTACTCTGTATTGGCTCAGGTCACTGAGGTGTCCACATGAGCACCTGAGCAGGTGCTCAGGTAACTGCATAATTCCTCAAATTCTCATATTAGCCCACACATGGAAATTTTCTCCTCCCCAAACCAAACTGCTCCCGTACCTCTGCCTGGTAAGACTGCAGTGGGCTATGCCTGGGGAAAACTATCCTTTATCAGAAGGATGAAAACAGTCATCAAGTTTGCACGCTGCACTGTGACCAACTGTTGTTTTGACCTTGGCTATGACTTTGGGCCACTTTGGGTTAATCAGGAGGTCAAAATTTTTGTTTATTAAGTATTACATTGCATTTTGAGATAGTCTTAATCCAAGTAATTTGGTAGAAGGTCAACAAAACTCCAACTCTGGTAAATTCATAGGTGAGAGTACTAGGGCTAAATCTACTTGAAAAAAACAGAAATGACATTCCTGCACCTCAGATCACTGACAACAGAAAAAAGGAAAAGAAGAACCCATGGGCTAGACAGTAGAATGCTGTGGTACCAGCTGGAGCTTTGCTGATGAAGAACCTCCTTCAGACATCTGTGGAGAACTTTCTATCATTAGAGTCACTTTGCACCAGCTCAGCATTGACATACTGCTGTGGTGGTTTCGAGGATATCAAGTATCCTATCACTGTTATCTTTGTGGAACCAAGGTCTAAACATTTTGACTTTGTAGAACTAAGGGCAAAGCATTTTACTCGATGCTCTAAATCCCCAGGCTCTGCTAAGTATCACTCTCTGCTTGCCCCTGCATACTGTAGAAAGGGACTGAGCACAGTAATTACCTAATTGCCTGACTGTGTGTCATAGCTCACAGGGTAATTGCAACAACTATTGTTAATTAATACTGTTCCTCACTAGCTGAAAAACAGGTTCTAGGCAATGCTTTTATTTTCACCAAGGAAGAGTCTCTGAATTTCAGAGATCCTGAATTGATTTAATAGGCTTTGATACACAGATTTTTGTGTAACAGATTGTCCTGGTTTTGGCTGAGATAGATATAATTTTCTTCCTAGTAGCTGGTATAGTGTTATGTTTTGGATTCAGTATGAGAAGAATGTTGATAACACACTGATGCTTTCAGTTGTTCCTGAGTAGTGTTTAGACTAAGTCAAGGATTGTTCAGCTTCTCATGCCCAGCCAGCAAGAAGGCTGGAGGGGCACAAGAAGTTGGGAGAGGACACAGCCAGGACAGCTGACCCAAAATGGCCAAAGGGATATTCCATACCATGTGATGTCATGCCCAGTATATAAACTAGGGGGGAGTTGGCCTGGGGGGTGGATTGCTGCTTGGGAACTAAACGGCATCGGTTGGTGAGTAATTGCATTTTCTGCAATTTTCTTCCTTTCTGTCCTATTAAACTGTTCTTATCTTAACTCATGAGTTTTACTTTTTTTCCCCGATTCTCTCCCCCATCCCACTGGGTTGGGGGGATTAGAGAGCAGCTGCGTGGTGCTTAGTTGCTGGCTGGGGTTAAACCACAACATAGATTATTAAAGATAGTATTGCCCGTGAGATGTTAAGCCTTGCCATACGTATGTGTGCATGAGTATAAATGAGCTCTTCCTATCTAATGGAAACGTATACAGATAGCCTGATGGCAAAAATTTCTGAGAAAAAAGCACAGCAATCCTATTAATGTTGTGAGAGTTTATTTGGCTAAAAATTATTTATTTATGTAAAAAGACATGAAGTGAATACTTTTCTTGTAAAGCTATTACCTCAGATACCTCCTCAAGAGGATCCCTGAAAGGAATTGTGTATTTTTAGAACAGTAGCTTTGGACAAGCAACACATTGTTAGATGCAATCTGGGAGAAAGATTTGAGGACTAGGATGCTGCAGACTCTCCCTTTTTCTTTACTGGTGGGAAAGCCACCGCCTTCCTTTGCTCAGGGTTCTGGCCCTTCCCAGAAGTTACATTACACTAGGAGGCACTGAAGGATCTGACATTTACACAAGTAAACATACCTCTTAGAGTTGATGGACATTTTAGTGATGCATCTTTGTGTTCAGGATCTTAAATTGGTAAGCATTATGTATGTAAGAACAAGCCACAGAGGAAGTTGCCCTTGAGGTCCAAGGGGCATCTCTTAAGACCCACTATGAGGACGCATCAATTAATGTAATTTTTTTGGATCAAGGACTATAGTGAATTAAGATGATGGAGATGGTGAGCGTTCCCAGACAGAGCTCAGTTTCCCTCAGCTCTAGGATTATTGTTTCTTAGTACATCATTCTTTTTTCCATAGCTTTTTTTTTTCTTTTTTTCTGTCATTTGCTTTTTTTCCTCTGTACAAACATGGGAAGGGAGCTGCGGGTCCAGCCTATAGCTGTTTGGCTAACGCTTACTCAAGAGAGAAAACTTACCATTTGGTATTTTACTGGTCCACTCTCACAAGGAACCAAGGAACTAGATCTCCAAAGCAAGACAGAACTATAGAAAAAACTCAAGCAGGCCCCCCCCCCCCCCTTTCAGAGAGGGAAGGATGAGAAAAACCTTACCTAACCTATGCAACTCCTTACGTAACTGGCACGTGAGTTACTTTCTCTGTTTTAGTTCTGGAGTTGTTCATACTCCTGCAGCTCCCCAGACACCTGCTTCCTTCCCTCTGGCCTCTGCTGGAGCGCGAGGGGCTTTTTCGGCCTGAGGAAAGAGGTCATGGAGGTTTGACTGGTACCTTTGAAATGGGCTGCTTCTTCTAAGAGCCATATTCCCCTCATGTTTTATTTCCCTTGTGTTCTTTCCTGGCTGTTTTATTTTTATTTAAATAGAAAATGTTACTGGGAAATTGAGTATTTATCTCCAATCAGATGGTCACAGCGGAGTTGTTTCTACCTTATGCAACTTACGTGCGGTACGTTCTCGGAGTAAAAACCCCACGTTTTAGTGTCGCTCGTGCTCTCCTGTTGCCTTTGGCAGTACGTGCAGGTACAACAGGCAAGTTGTTTTTTTTATTTTTGTTTTATTACAGCCCCATTCAAACCTGCTCCAGCCTGTCCCCGGGTTCACCCGCTTGTTAAGAAGCAGCAGACAGGCCTCAGGCCGAGTGCCACGGCCCTTCCTTTGGGACTCCACCTCCACAGCGAGCCTAACCCGGCTACCGGGCACCCCGTTTTCCGCTGGTAGTTCCCTCGGCTCTTCCCTGCCTCCCTGTCCCGGAAGGGTCGGGCCGGGCCAGGGCTTGGCTCGACCCTTCCGGGAGACGAGGCCCAAAGCCCCTCGCACCGCCGAGCCCCGCGGCAGCTCGGCTATCCCGGCATGCCCCCCGCGCCCGCCGGCGCCCGGTGGCGGAAGCCGGAAGCGCCGCGGCGGAAGTATGGCTCAGCTGGCGGGGGGAGGGGGGCGGGGTGTCGCAGGTGAAGCTGGGAAGCGCGGAGCCATCTTGGTG